TGAATGAAAAATAAAAAGTACCTACCATCAGCTGTGAAAATGTCATCAGTCTGATTCAAAACCAAAACCAATTAGCTAAATGAGTTGGCCATTCATTAGGCCACACTCAAAAAATCATGTATTGTCAGGGTTATAAAACAACTACATTTTGACATGTAACTTACTAGCATAAAGAACAAATTGACTTTGTTATCTTCAAGATCACTAGAGTTTTGAAACTGAATCAAGTAGAAATTAATATATATTTAACGGTATTTAATGTCACTGAAATGTGTGCTTGTTATTTGCCATATGTAGTGGCTATTTTGCAACTTTTTGAAATGGAATCTGTATTATATTGCTTTAAGTATTTTTTTCACATAAAACAAGAAAATTAGGCTAAAAGGGAGCTTTTAATTTTAATTTTTAATGTTCATTTTTTCTTCAGTTTTGGGAGCTTTCCTCTTTTAACACAAGTTAATTCAAGGAAAGAATTAAAGGTTTGGGTTTTTCTTCTGAAAGTCATGATTAATGGAAATTTGTACCTGTGTTAAAATATTTTCTTGTAAGTTGACTGAATCTTTGTCTGTATAACAGATTGGAACACACTTCAATTTTTCCAGTTAATATTTACTATATTGAGTGTGAGTTTATGACAATCTGTTTTTTATTATCAAGATGATAAGATAAAATGGAGGAGCAGACATTAACATTTACAATGCAAGTTCTTCCCAGGTAAAAGGCTACCTCTCCATTTTTTCCCCATTTCTAGTTTATCTTGGGATTGTTTCTTTCAATTCTCATTGCTTTCTAGACATTCAGGAAGGCAGTACTATTGTAGTATTGTGTATCTTTGCTCTCATTTCTTCTCATCTTAACAACTGTGAGTTTGTTTCTGTAGAACTTCCCTCTAAAATTACTTTAACAATCTTCCTCTGGCTTTTGGAGCTTTTATAACATACTCTGCCTTGTCAATATGTTGGATATTTTCATTTCTTCTCCAAGATCACATTGTGAGGGGACTAGCAGAACATGAGTTAAGAACTGAGACATCTTATTAGCAAGTGACTGCCCTGGTAGCAGCTGCACCACAAAGTGACCCCATTCTTTCCGTTTTCAGGGCAACCAGTTGTATCATTGACTGTCTTGCTCTCTCCTGTGCTTTCCCACTGCTTCATACTTTTGACATGGATGCGCCTGATTCCAGCAATGTCTTCTTGCCCTAGGAGGGAGTTTAAGACCAACGCCTGGTCGCAGGACCACTGCTGTGTGTTACCAGAGCAACTGTTTACACACAGCAGCTGGATAACAGTTTGGTATCCAGGTCTCCTCACTACCACATGGGAGTTTGAACCACTGAGCTGCAAAACCATGCTTCCTTTCGCTCTTTTCTCTGCCCGCTTCAAATAATCTTTAATTTCTTTTACAATTTGGTGTAGATTCAAGAAGAGGGATGGAGTATCTCTTCTTCCTTGTTCCAGGCTCAGACAGCCTGGAGTCTGGGGACTAGCACATTCCCATAAATCTGAAACTCTTGTCACTTCAGACAGGCCTGGAATGAAAGTCTCTCCCACCCTTGCATTAAAGAGAAGTAGAGCTCCCAGAAAAAGACTCATGCAAACTGAAGCTGGCTCAGTTTGCAAAGGGGTGATACAAGTGCTTGCAACTTGAAGATATATTTAATTTGTTTTGTGTCATAGGTTTCCAGTGGTTAAATTAGATGCCACAACAATCACTGCTCTGGCTGCTTAATCTGAGTTGGAAGCACCAGAATCTCTCCACACACTGTTGTTTCTTCACTTCACTGGGGGTTGTGGATTCCAATGCAGGACCTCTAAAAATGAGGGCTTGTTATTTCAGCATCAGAACACTTGAGTGTGGAGCTAATCCAAAAGCCTTCTCTTCTTTTGAAGCATTTTTTCACCATTTATATAATTTTATACTCTACTATAACCAGGTATATTATTTCTTGAGTTTCCAATCCTCAGTTAAATCTTTGTCTTCAAATATCTCTGAATTAAAAGGAATAATGCAATAATTGAAATACATGATGGATTAAAGCAAATATATATAGTCTTTACTATTGGTTCTTATAGGCTGAGAATGTGAGATTTTGATTCCCCAGAAGATATGCTCCTTGTTCAACTATTTCTTAGTTGTTAGTTTTATTTGGAAATAATGCCTTAGCAAAAGATGTAAGGTAATTGTACTCTTCTTCATCATGTTGTCCATGTTAATCAGTTAATATTTAGAGAATACTAATGGACATACCAAATTTTATGCAGTCTATTATTTTACTTTGGAATATTTGAGTCACATCCTCTGCCGGACCCTGGGAATAATGTGAGGCAAATTATTAGGGTAGTGGTCCTGCCTGGCCTGCTATCTCTCACTACTGTTAAATCCTGGATTAAACACTATTAGCTCTTGCAGTCAACAGGCCCATAATCTTGTGGGGGGAGGCTGTTCTGGCTACTTAGTTAATCACGGAAGGTCTGTATCTTTTCCTCTGCTTTTCTTTTCTGAAGCATTAGTCAGGATGAGGAGCTTCCTCATGTTTATTGGTATCTTTCCAAGTTGAAGAAGGAGATAATCCCTAAAGAACTGGCTACCAGGCACTAAAAGTGGAGTCTTATGTTTTTTCAATGATTTATTGCTGTTGCAATTGTTATAAAGGGGTGTTGACTGAAGCATGAAAATGCCTCACTGTGGGTTTGTCAATATTGTCATGTACTTAAGACTTAAAAAACACTATGCTTTTTGGATATGGATTGTGTCAACAATAGAAAGTGGTTAGACATGACATCTTTAAAGTACTATAGCCATCTAGAATTATTCATTGTGCATTTTGTATTCTGACAAGGCAGTAGGGGCAAAATTCCTCTCTGGCGTAACTCTGCTTGGCATCTTTTGCTCAGGATTTGGGTATAGACTATCTAGTTTGACTGAAGTGCATACAAAGTGGTCTGAAAAATAATTATCCTTTCAAAAACATGATAAAGGTTTCAGTGGCTGCCTATTCCTGCTGC